ATGGGAAAGTTATTTAAGCTTTCTACTGAAACACCCATCTCACTTGCATCTTGAGCAAATTGAGCAGCAACTAGTAAATATTTTCTCTTCCTTCTCCTACCTTTCTGGAAAAAAAAAAAGTGAGTAAACGTTTTAAAACTGGGATTCATTATAGGAGGAGAAAAGTGCTCCAAGTGGAAACCGGATAACTTGAACACCACCAACATTCCTCACTCAAGGCAGTAGTAGTTGGTGCCAACTTCTGTGGGTGTGAAACAAGGACAAATGAACTTGAAATTGCCATTAGCAACATTTAGGTTAAATGTAAGCTTTACAGTGTATCCTCTCTGTCTCTGGAGGTTTTTTAAAACTGAGAAAGTAGTTATCCATCTCGGATAATTCGAATCTAAGCAAAAATTATTCCACTTACTTTTTGAGGCTCCCTGCATTCCTGTGACTTTTCCAGACATGATTTCTAGAAATTCTTACCAGATATTCCAAAATGCCAAGTAACTGGAAAGGAATGGTTGTGTCATACCTCTAAGACTGGATATTTCCTAGTATTAAAGAATTAGTAATTTTTAGTTTTCTTAACTGAATTGCAATTATGTTTAGAAAAAGATTATTCCTTTAAAGATATCTACTGAAATATTTACGGATTAAATGATACCATTGAAACTTGCTTCAAAATAAACAGTGGAGGGGAGAAAGTGAGTCACTGAAGAGATAAAATAAGTTTCTTAAGAGGTGATAATTATTGCAGCTGGGTGACCAGCACATAAAGGGACATGATATTATTCTTGCAACTTTTGTATATATTTGAAATTTTTCATAATGGAAAAAAGTATGGGGGGGGGGAGGGAGGGAAAGGATGAGGCGTGACTGTGCTCCAGCCTGATCTGTTCTCTACATTGCTGCATGGGTCACTCCTTATCCTCATCTGTAAAATGAGGAGGGGGCCAGGCGACCTCTCCGGCCCCTCTGAGCTGTCACATTCCATGGCTTTAAGCAGCACTTAGCCATGTAGGTCCTGTGTGCCTTCTCTCTCTCCACTCACCTCTCCTCTCGCTTGTGTTCCTGAATGCTTTGGCATTCTTCCTGGAAAAAACAAAGTAGCAGATGCTGAAAATGACCAAAGGTTAAGCCACCAGGTAATTTTAAAGCAAACCAACAAGATCATGTATCCATTAATGTCAAGAGGCCTTTCACCCTGCATCACTCCCAGCACTCTAGGGGCCTTCACTCCTCACCACCAAACAAAGGGAAATAAATGATCCTCTGCAAATGTTTTTAATAACAGTCTTAAGGTGGGCAATTCCTTGGTCCCCCAACAATAAGAAGTAAAACTCACTGGTTAGGACACTACTGATAGTGTCAGGAGTGGAAAGGAGTCCAGCAATTATCACGCTCACCTCCAATCCTAGAAAAGCAGCTCAGAGAGAGGCTGCTGGGCCTCCTGATCACACAGCTGGTGAGTTCTGGGACTGAGTCCCCAGACTCCTGATGCCTACTTCTTCCTTAAAACGGACAATCCTAGAAAAGCAGCTCAGAGAGAGGCTGCTGGGCCTCCTGATCACACAGCTGGTGAGTCCTGGGACTGAGTCCCCAGACTCCTGATGCCTACTTCTTCCTTAAAACGGGCATGTAGATAGGACCTGTCACAAGTTTGTCTAAAAACTTGAGAAACACCTTTTTGCTAACTTGAGGCAAACCCTCAACACTAAATTGAACCATATTGATACTGCTGTTCTTCTAGATCAAAAATGATAGATAAAGGCAATTCCATATGGTGCAAATCACCCTTTTCTGAACATTAATAATAGTTCCCAAAGATATCAAAGTCCAAATCCCCAGAAATTAAGAATGTTACTTTATACGGCAAAAGGGACTTTGCAGATGTGATTAAAGATCAAAAATGATAGATAAAGGCAATTCCATATGGTGCAAATCACCCTTTTCTGAACATTAGTAAAACTTCTTCAGTAACATTAATGAACCTCTATAAGATAAAACAGGGGCCTTACAGCACAGAGGCCCCAAGACAACGGCCTACCATGACCCTCTCTACAGGAACTATGGCAAGTGTCCCCCAAAGTCAGAGTTAAATATAAAACCAACACACAGGGAAGAGCTCAGGGATGCACAAAAGCAACTGAGAGACAAAAACAAAACAAAACAAAAAACCAAACAGCAAGAACAGGCAAATTTACAAAATCTACCTGTATTGGCTTATCTAAACCTCCACGGTAAAAAGAATGGATCAATACATCTAAAGGTGAAAGATCCTTTAACTAAAGTAGGATGGCCAGCAAAGCAGGAGAAATGAGAGGTCACAGAGGCAGAGACAGTGCGTGTGGCTGGGAGGTGGAGTCTGGGAGGCAACAGACTCCACACTTCGTAGTGTCCTTGAAGGTTTTATCCCTAACACTGAACTGAAGTCACCAGGCCCTCAGAGACTAAGGCCCCAAACAGCTCAGGTGCCACCTCCTCCAGGAAGCCTTCCTCCCCCTCCCTCCACCCCCACACATGGATCAGTAAGTTGACTTATCTATTTCCTGGAAGCCCGAAGGCTCCCTGAGGGCAAGGATAGACTGGTCTTCTAATCCCAGTGCCTGTCCCGAACACACATCAGAGTAAGCACTCAGGAAATGCTCATGGAAACAAGAGGAAGCTGAAAGTCTCCAGTGGAGAATGACTGGGAAGGGGAAAACCAACTCTGTTGGGATGGGTCCTTGGGTGATTCAGTGGCCCTCCAAACCGCCATAAAGAACAGCTGCTAAAGATGATAAAACAAATCTGAGGAACTGAAAAAGGAAAAGTCCACAGGGCAGGAATAAAGAATTGGAAAGAATTGTAAGATACAACTCCCTGAAGTGGTCTGGATGCACTCAGATGAGCCCCAGTGCCCAGGACTGATAACACAGAGACAGGCAGTGCCAGCAGTTGGATCCGGTTGCTTGGCTTCCTCCCCACTCAGTGTCCCAACCCCCTGCCAGCACCCCTGCCAAGTGAGTGTTTAGCCACTGACTCAAACCTTCCTGAAAGAAGGAATCCACCACCTCACCATGAGGGAATGAACAGAGGAGGCCTATGTGGATTACAGGGAAGCTAAGAAAGGCACAGGTCAACACAACAAGGCACCACAACTTCGGGTCACTGGGGACCTGGTGATGTGGCACAGATTTTAACTGAAGAGTAGGCAGGGACTGTGGTGAGAGGGTGCTGGGGGACAGATTTGCAGCTGGCCAAGCCCAGAGGGAAGCCATAGCACCACTCACACCACACAGCAAGCTACTCCCCACACACCAGTATGAGAGTCAGGCAGAACCACAATTCCCACACCATCCAGCTGTAAAGGGTCCCCTTAAGTTCCCAGCAGCTGAGAGACATTTCCGAATTCTTATAGGAACATAGGTTTCCCACTGTGTCTGCCACTCGGGGTCTTCAAAGCAGAATCCTCAGAGTCTGTTCTAGCTTCAGGGACATTCTAGAAAACTCTGTCTCTGTAAACAGTGTGTCTGATTTCTGGATCAGGAAAGGAAAGATTTCACGCAACCTTTCAACCCCTTTCAACCCACCTTCTGGAAATATCAAAGTCTGACAGGGTTTGTTGTTCTTTGTCCCTTCAGATGCACTCTGTTCTGACGTTTGCTTGCTTCCACTTCCTGCACAGCAGAGCAGGAGGCAGTTCAGAGCACAGGCTCTGGAGTCTTGCTCCCAGGGTTCGAAGCTCAACTCCCTTATCCACTGTGTCAACTTAAGTAAGCCACTTCTCCCATAAACCTCAGTTTCCTTATCTTAAAATGGAGACTGTAATAAACCCCTGTTACTTAGGGATGTTGGAAGGAATAAATAATATATAGGTAAAGCACTCACCTAAGTAGCTTATTATTAGTATTATTGTTGCTGTGATTATTACTACTATTACTATATAAGCATTCTTCAGGTATTTCACTACTAATTAGGAAATCTTTAATAAAACAGCATCCCAAATTGTATTGCTATGCCTCAAAACTATATTTATGCTAACATCAAAAAGACATTTTGGAGGAAAAAAAGATTTTTTTTTTTCAAATGGGAGGGGATGACACACATGGATGCAATAAGCCTCAAGATTTAAATGTGACTATAAATGCTGTTTAGTTATATCTATCTTAGAAGTCATAGAAACATTAAGAGGGGCGACGAATCACAGAGTTGTCTTCACCTGATAACCTACAGGCAATGTCCTTCTTTCAATGGAATGCATCTACAAGCATAACAAGTTCAATAATAAATCCATTGTGGCTCTTCCATTCAAAAGACCTCAGAGGGAAAACCCTGTTACCTAACAGCATAAGTTACAATCACTGTACATCTCCAAAATTAAGACTTTTGCTTAAATCTTTCCTCATGGGATAGAACTGCTGTCACTGCTCTGAACATGAGTATGTGTGTCTTCTTTCATCATGAGGGGTTTCTACATAAGATGCACACATTACCATCTCTACGGCTATTTGGAAATGGTGGCTCACATTATAGCTGCTGTCATAGCTTTCTTCAGTGATTTAAGTTTCATTCCTCTGGCCATAATGAATCACATTGGTGTGTTTGAACATTTCTCCCCTCGTCCATTCACTGAATGTATCTCTGCCTGTGAGTGTGTAGGTTTACTCTACATAAATTTCAGGTGGTGAGAAGTAAAACTTATTACAAAATTCAAAATACGTACTGGAAATGTACCTGTCAGAGCACATGCTTCATTAATCTATGCCAACTTGAGTATATCCTAAACACCTACATGTTTAATCAATTTACACTGGACAGTGCAATTTAATCATGGACATGCTCTTCTACCTGACAACCACCAACCAAAAGAACTAGATGAACAAAAGAACTAGTGTATCTTTGGTTTATATGCAAAATTCAAAACATAAAGAAAGGACTCTTGATACTCCAAAAAGAGTACTTCCCTTCCAAACCAATTTTGAACACACTGAAATGCACTTACTCAACATAAAAACATACAATCAAGACATTCCCCATACTGAATTAGGAAGTTTATTAGGCTCCTAATTTCCATGTCTAGACATGAACATGGATTTACATGCATTGTCTCATTCTGCGGATCTTACATGCATGTAGTCTTCAGTCAGCTGGACCTTTGATTCTACTTGTCAGTAATTTACAATTAGCTCAATGTGAGTAAATGACAGACACAGAATGATGCATAAGCCGTAGCAATAAATCCCACCCAATACCATTTACCTTTTTTTCCAAAACCATATCACAACTCTCTCTTGTAAAAAATAAATTTCAGAACAAGGCATTTAATTGATCTCACTGAGAAAAATAAAGACAATTCTATCATTTCAGAATTCAGCAAAGAATGTCCAACTATGGCTGAAAGGTACACCCTGAGAATTAAATGACTTTAACGAACCCATTGAGGTTTATAAAGCTGTGTTAACCTATTGTCGGGAAGGGACACAAGATCCAGGCACAGACGTCCCTGCTCATTTTTCTGTACAGTTCTCCAAAGATGCAGTGTTATAAATGTCCTCATTGTCTTCAATGCTGGAAGCGTCTGTGGAGTTGGGATCGCTCACCACAATGCCTATGGAAGACAGACTGGTAATGAAGGTGTGCATCTGCTGGGCATAAATATCCCTAATGTTAAAGTAAGGTAGCTCAGGACACTTCTCTGGTGGGTCCTCACTGCACTGGTCCACATCAATGTCCTTTTGCTTCTGGTAGTACTTGGAAAACTTATTGAAGATGATGGTGATAGGAAGAGCCACCACCAAGATACCACAGATGATGCAGGAGCTGGCAATGAGCTTCCCAGCCAAGGTGACAGGGTGGGTGTCGCCATAGCCCACCGTGGTCATGCTGATGGTGGCCCACCACCAGCAGATGGGGATGCTGGTGAGGCTGGACGTGTGCTCATCTTTCTCCACAGAGTAGATCAGCACAGAGAAGATGGAAATGCCCACAGATAGGAAGAGAAGCAGCAGCCCTACTTCATGGTAGCTGTGTCTCAGGGTGGCACCTAGAGACCGAAGTCCTACCGAGTGCCGGGCAAGCTTTAGTATACGGAAAATCCGCATAAGCCGAAGGATCTGGACCACCTTGCCCATGTTCTCAATGTCCTCACTCTCTTCCTCCTTGGTGTCCACCGCCAACGTGGCATAGAAGGGAATGATGGAGACAAAGTCGATGATGTTCAGAGGGTTTTTCCAGAATTTCTTTTGGCAGGGAGCGGCAACCAGCCGGATGGCAAGCTCCCCGGTGAACCAGGCGATGCACGCGATCTCCACACCTTCCAGCACCGGGTCCTCCACCTCCCCATCCTCGTTCTGGAACTCCGACATGCTGTGGATGCACATGGCCACGATGGAGGCCAGCACCACACTCAGGGAGGAGATGGCGATCAGCTTGGCAGACAAGCAGTAGCCTGGGTTTTCCATTCGAATCCAGATTTTCTTCCGGAGCTGACCGAACCGCAGCTTGTCAAACTTCTCCAGCTCTTTCTCAAAAAGGGACGACTCTTCAAACGAGGAGTCGGTGCTCACCTCCTGGCTCTTCTGCTCCCAGTCCTTCTCATGGGTCTCCTCCTTGCGCTCCTGGTAGCGATTGCTGCAGCAGGAGTCGAGGAAGAGCTCGTTAATGCCCCAGTACTCGATCTCCTGGCAGAAGGAGAACACGCACAGCTCCTCCATGACATGCAGCTTCCCAGTGTAGTAAAAATTCAGCACGTATCTGAACAAGGAGGGGTTCCGATCAAAGTAGTACTCTTTGTCAGCCACGCTGTAGTCATCGCACAGCTCCAGAATGGCCTCTTCAGAGTGGCAAGTTAGCAACTTCCCCAGTCTGGTGTGAGGGAACCGCAGGAGGGTGCTTTGGTCAACAGACTGCTTAAAGCCCCCCACATTCAGGTTGACAAGTTCCTCGTCTTGTCCAGGGTGATGGAAAAATTCACCAAACACCATGGTGGATACAGAAGGCAGGGCGCTGGCTGGGAAGGGCGACGAGGAAGATCAGGCCACACCTGGAAGGAGCATAAGATGGTATTAGCACTGTCCCGTCGTGCCTGGCCAAGCTTATTTTTAATCTGTCTTTTCCAGGAGGATGGGCTACATGAAAAGCAAAGCAGAAAATGCAATAAAAATGAATTACACATTTTGACGAGAAGAAAATCCACACACAACTGTTTTTCTCTTTTAAAAACTTGGGCTTATATAGATCCATTTTTTAGGAAAGAGAAAAGACAGCAGTATAATTTTTAATGAACCCTAATTCCTATTTCTGTGTTTATGAAGCATCCAAACTTTATCTCCCTCCTCTGTCCCCCCAAAAAACAATGCATTTTAGATCACTTACACAACACAAGCATCTCCTGAGTCTCGGCCACGAGGCCCTCCTTGTCTGGGAATGCCAGGCTCAGATGTGCAAGGCTAGTTGCTGCCAGGCGTGCAGCTTGCCCCTCCCTGTCCCCGGGGCTCTGCCATGCACCTGCAGAAACAGCTGTCTCCTCTGCTCTGTACTCCGACCTCAGCTCAGCTCCTGCACAGGTTCTGGGCCTCCCCTTCTGCTCCAGCGTTTTACTCCTCTATGAGAAAGCCCTGTTCCCTATGTGTGGATGTAGACAGTCAAGAGGATATAATTATCTCCTCGTCCTTAAGTACCCTATATCTTAAAGATATCATTACACTTCATGGGATGGTGTTTCAGGTACATCCACCTAGAAAGAAATTGACTTGAGAAAACCTTTTGACCCTAATTGCACTATCAGTTTCCTGATACAAAGCGCCCCTCCCACCTCCTTCCTCCCCTCACGGACAGTCTCCCACACAGCCCTCATCCACGGTTATCTCTCCATAGACGTCTACACTGGCTGAGCACATGGCCTGTTTCTAGTTCTGACACTAACCACGATGTACCAGATCCATTTCTCAGAGAGAAAATAATAGATTTTGACCATCACCCAATACAATCATGTTTCCTCAGAGCAGATGGTACAGAGAAAAGAAAGGTAGGTAGGAGATGATCATATGCAAGTTCCCACCAGGTCCTATTAGATGCCTTGTTCACATTACATCATTAAATCTTCCCAACGCCAAAAGGTAGGTGTACAGAAAAATGGATACTCAGAGAGGTTAAGTCCAAGATCACACATTAGGTAAATGGCAGAGCCAAGATTTAAACCCAGGTTGAATTAACTCTAAAGCCCATGTTCTCACCACCACATAGACTCCCCCCTCCCCTGTTTTCTCTCTTACTATAATCTAATAATCCAGTGTGGGAAGTGCTATACCAGAGGTGAGGCAAGCATCTTTGGAATTATTAAGAAAAGAGCAATGACCTCTGGCGGGAGAAGCTTCCTAGCAGAGGTTACATGCAGCTGGAATGTTGAAGGTTCAAGCATAGTTGACCAAACAGAAGGAAAAAGAACATTCCCAACTGAGGGCACCACAGGGCAGGCAGGAGCCAGACTGTGAAGGGTCTTGTACATCAGCCTGAAGAATCTGGATTTTATCCTGTCAGCAAGACCACTAATAGGTCTTCTTCAAATGGGCGAAGCTGCATTTGTGACTGTGACTTAGAAAGACCCCAGTGACATCAGGGTGGAAGACTGCAGGGGACAGGCTGGGGCAGAGGAGGTGGGACTGCAACAGAACAGAGAGAGGAAGCGAGGATCTGTACACACACAGCAGAAATGTGGATAAAGAGGAAGTTTGTCTCTTGACAGACTCAAGAGAACTTCAGAAAGTAGAATTGACAGCAACTGGTGAGTGATTGGAAAGAAGGGACAAGGAAGGAGAAAGGCTGCAGGAGGCTGTGTTTCTAGCCTGCATGAGTGGGCAGCCAATCACACCATTAGAGGAGGCAGAAAGGTCAGAAGGGAATTTTTTCCCCTCATGTTTATGGAAAGCCAAGGTTGTCAGCAAGACAAGAGCCTTCTCCTCTGAAAGAGACACACCAGAGGTCACAGCCTGAAAGTATAGCCTGGTGCCATTTACTCCAGGGGAAATTCCATAGTCATAAAGAATACATGGGCACTTGCTCTCGAGACACGAACAGTAAATGTGCCCCAGGAAACCAGAGACCACAGTATGGCTTGATGCACCATTTAATAGACTTGCTGACCTCTTCAAAAGACTCGGTTGTTTTCCTCTTCTGCTTTTATTTTTAGTAAGAGATCTTCTTTGAAGGGCTTGTGTCAGAGCTCCTGACTTCATCCAAACATTTATGAAACTTAGTTCTCTGAAAGCTGGCTCATGCTCACGGCAAGTATAGTAGTAAAATGTTCCGAGGAACAGTTTTAGCTAAACTGGCATTAAGACTTTAATGGAAGTTATTTTCTGGTGGATTATTTTTCATCCCTTTGGCTATCCTGGGAACATACAATGATATAAAGTCATTGGTTGTCTTCATGACACTACCTGCATATGTACATTATATGCATGCACACATATATGTGTGTACTCCGTTTCCCAATCTCTCTGCAGTCACCTCTCTGAAGAACACTGTTATCAGACATAATATCAGTCTTCCTGCTCTGTCCTCCTAGCATTTTATTCACTCTGTGCCAGTGAAAGCCCATTATGAGGTCTATCCATTCCACAAAGTCTACTCATAAAAGAAACACACATCATAAAACAAGGGGTTTCTTGTTGTGGGGCTTTCAGAAGAGAGAACAAGGAAAGCATGTCTGTCTGGATCAGATCAAATGCTTCAACTCAGAGGGCAAGCTGAGATTCACCAAGTCACTGTGGCCAGAGTCACAGTGTTGGTTTCCTTGGCTATGTCTGGCCCACAGCCAACTGAGGACAGGAAAGGAGAGCCCACCTTTACAAACTGCAGTAAGCTTCCCTACATGTAGACGGTCCCTCACCAATCACAGACATTCTTTATACCATTTGCTCCTCCTGCTGCCCTGGGACTTAGCAGATGAGGAAGCAGGATCAGAAGAGATTAGTGGGCATCATACAGCTAGTAAGGGTTAGAGGCAGAGGCCCAAGCCGGGGATCCTCAGGCCAAGCTCCATATTCTCGACAGCATTCCGGCTCACATATTTAAAGTCACATTAAAACCAGATACTGAACATCATTATTTCCAAGATCTCTCTAGTCAGACGAGATTTATTTAAGTCATTCATTTACTTCTTTTAGAAAACATTTATGTATAAAAGGATATGTGTGTGTGTGTGTGTGTGTGTGTGTGTGTGTGAACCATACACATACTAAATAAAAATATGGGTCAATTTCTCTATAAACCAGAAATGGGAAAAACTTTCCTAATTCTGACTCAAAATACAGAAAAAATAACAAAAGAGAATAAATTTGATTACATAAAAGTAATTTTTCTGATCTGGAAAAAAGATATAGTAGTTTAAAAACAGAATATGGGGAAAATGTTTGAAACTTATATCACAGATGAGATTAATATACCTAAAACATAAACATATAAAGAGCTTTAAAACAGAGGGAATAAAGAGTGACAGCATTATAGAAAAATGGACAAGAGACATGAACAGATAGTTCACAGAAAAAAAGACAAATTGGACTAAAAACAGAGGAAAAATGCTCAACCTTATTCATAATAAGATAAATGCACATTAAAACTATACTGAAATATCACATCTAATCTGTCAAATTGGAAAAAAATCCAAACATTGGACTACATATTTTGTTGATGAGTTTATGGGAAGCAGTACTTTCCACATTGCAGTGGGAATGAAAAATGAACGGGATCTCTATGGAGGGGAATTTGCCAAAATCTAGCACGAATGCATAGGCAACCCTCTCCCAAAAATATACAGTCAAGAAATGAAAACAGCTGAATAACTGGAAACAACCTAAATGTTCATCAATAGAGGACTGACTGCAAAAACTATGTTCTATGTCTCTATACATAAGAAATGGAGTGATTTCTAAGACATATTAAAATGGGGGGGGAGCAAATTAGAGAAAAACATATATAGCATGTTACAATTTATCCAATGGGGACTCAGGACTATATACATACACACATATATATACAAGTGTGTGTATACATATACATACACACATGTGTTTGCACTTGCTCAGTATAGAAAAAGAAACAGTGGAAGGCTAAGCCAAAAACCAATAAAATGCTTCCCTCTGTGGGGAGAAAGGGAACAGGGTATAGGAGACAATGTTGGAAGCTGGACTTGGGAAACACATAAATGTTTTACATAATTATGAAACAAAATTAAATAAACATACAAAAGGTAATCCCTAAAAATTAAACCTCGCTCTGTATCAAGGTGGTGGCTTAACCTCAAAGAGATGAATTATTTCAAGATATTTTAAAATGTAATAATTTGACTGTACATCCCTAGTGGTATATATTCTGAAACAAAAATAATACAGAATCTTAAAATATTTTAAGTAATCATATTGGTATAGTTATTCTAAAATTTTTATACACACACATAGGACAAAGCAAATTAATTATATTAATGTCATTAGGAATCCCCAAGATTTGGTGTGCCAAATAAAAAAATATGAATATAAAAATCAAAGAAATGAAATAAAAACCCATTAATCCTGAATCTTTATTGGAAATATTAGTATGAACTCATTTTTTTGTTGTTGTTGTTAAAAGAAAATCTTATTTTTGAGCTCTGTCTACTAAAAAAGTCTTGAAATAAATGAGTAGGTAGAAAACTGTGGTGCATTGGCTATATCTCCCCTTCAGAACTGAGGCACTCATCCTCACACCTGCTGGGAGTGTTAGTAGCTAATGGCTTTCAGCTAAGTCCCTTTTTGGGAATCACCATCAGCCAAACAGAGCTGCCTCGCCTAAGGTCACACTCCCTCCCCAGGCCACCCCACATCCAATGACTTGTCTATGAGGGGGATATAAAGACCCAGCACCCTTTTCTCAAGATGGGCAACCCAGCTCCATGGTTCCCGATAGGGTCAGCTGAGGTTTCTGTTGCAACCTCATCACAGTTCAACCCCTCTCTGCCCAACCCTACTTCTTTCACTTCCCCACAGGTATTCATGCCAAGGGAACTTC